AGGAGGATTTATTAGCATAGGCCTCCATATTTGGCGTCCCTGGCCTATGCTAGTAGATCCTGATGCAGAATTGGTACATAAGTGTGTATGTGCACAAAATGTACAATTCCTCCTTTTTACTCTTTGAATATACTTTCTAAGTTCTCTGTTTCTTCTTAAACTAATGCTGCAGATTTCCCCCCCTGTAATTTGTAGAGCTCTTCTAAAAACTCTCATTTAATGTAAACAACTGTTTCAGCCACTGTGGTTTTAAAGTTTTATATTTAGGTTTTTATCTCATAATGATACATGCTCTCCCAGAGCCCATGTCTCTAACTCTTCAAACTTCAACCAGTTTTCTGCTCCTCTGTCTGTTGCTAATAAACATTATCTATCTATTTCACAAGCCTTTTCAAGTTTCATTTACTAGTATGTATATCCAAAATCTCAATAATGGAACCTCATTAAGTTGTTGACACTAAATTATCTATAACTTTTTACAATAGTCACTTCATCTACCATACACTCCTTACACAATGTAAAAACTAATGCCCTACAAAATTAACAAAGTCCTCTCCCTTTATCACGTTATGCTTGAATTTTCTAATTAAACTGTGGCAAATTAAAATCCCTATGGCTAATTAAAGTGATGATCTGTGAATTCTCAGTGTGGCACTTTGACTATGAATGTCTCCATCAGTTTAAAACTTACATTTTCTAAACAAGGAAAAAAGATTTAAGTTCTTCAAAAGGGACCTTAGTGCCAAAGGGTCATATTTAAAATGTTTTACATTTTTTCTTTTACACTTTTATATACTTCTTTTTTCTTTTTTTTTAAATGCCAGTCACTTAAAATGGGCCAACTTAAAATTTTGTTCAAAATATTCACAGTCAAATTAAATTTAACTTTCATATGCAAACAGATATTTTTTTCCTGTTAGAAAAAGAGATTTTTAGACAATCTTCCTCCATTTACTGTAACTATAACACAACAAACATCCCCCCGGTACAGTAGGATTTTTTCACTTTTGAACAACAAGCAATAATCCCTCCTCCATGTGCTGTGAGGCTTAAAGTCCAACGTCTCTGCAAAGCAAGCACCTCTTTTTATCTCTAGAGAAGTTAAAAGAGCAAAGCTGCAACGTGGTCTGAGCAAATTCTGCTCTGCTTCACAAGGGATATCCCAAAGACTTATGTACAACTGAGATCAGAATATGGCCCTCCCTGTAGTGATTTATTGAGCTAGTAATGCCTTAATTAAAGGCCAGATCATACTCCCTTTGAAATCTGTAGTAAAAATTTCATTGACTTCAGTGGGTGCAGGAACAGAGTCCCTGGTTATTAACAGAGTTTCCATTATAAACTATATTTTATTTAAATAGCTTCACTCACTTTCTTAGGCTCATTTCTACCTGAAATGTCTCATGTTTGACCCGTAGTTAGAGGAGAAGTTGTTCTGTGGAAAGTTTCAGTTGAATGGAACCATGTAGTTTTAAGATGTCAACACTAGAAATTGTCCTGCTATAACTATACTGGTATAGTTAAAGCAGTACAAACTCCCTAGCGTGGATGCAATTGTATCAGTATAAAAGTGCCTTATATCTGTATAGCTGCTTTCACACTAGTGCCCTGCCTACATTGCAAATGCTTTGCTGGTATAGCTATGCTGATATAGCAATACTGGCAGAGCCCCCTCATGTAGATGCAGCTTATGCTGACAGGAGTTCTGTCAGCATAATAACACCACCTCCTGAAATGACGCTAGCTAAGCTGACAGAAGCTTTCTTTCATCAACATAGCTGCAACTACACTGGGGGCTGTGCTGGTTACCTGTGTTGGCTATGGGGTGTGGGTTATTTCAGACTTCTGACCAACATAGCTATGCTAACAAAATCATAGTGTAGACCTGGCCTACAACTATTTTTGTAAAAATAAATCACACCTCTAACCAAAATTGTTATGCTGGTAAAACTTCCAAGCAGAGACCAGGTCTAAGATAAGGGACTTGGAAAATAAAGTCTTTCAGTTTTGAAAAAAATTAATTCTGCTTCTTGTACAACCATATTTGAGAAGCAGCTTGGTGTAAAAGTGCACTGAGAAAACAGACCAGCAATTCTCTACCAGTGGTAGCAATGAAAGAGGCTGTAGTACAAACAGGACTCAAGTGTTACCTTCCCCACTGCCCAGGGTGGGCCCTGTCTGTCATTGTACTGGTTGTGAATTACAGGTCTTAATTTTCCTAGTGAGGTAGAACACAGCGTATTTTATTTTATGATTTTTTTAAACCGGATGGAATATTTTTGATTTATCTGCTACAAACCCTCAACTCTCCGAGAGAGATGTCTGGTGTTTTCTGTGGCACGGACCCCTGTTCACTAGCAACTGGCTTGAGATCTCCTATCCAGTTCACACCGACCAAAAGCCAGCAGATGGGAGTGAATTTTGGTGCAAATACCAATTTAGGTATAGAAAGACAATAAGATGTTACAATTTTGCAGTCAGAGGGCATCTCGAATCACTGTCTCCACTTTGTGTGAAAAAATATGATTACAATAACTCTGTTTTCCTAATTACAATTATTGCTTGTTTATTGTCTAAGAGATTAAACTAAATCAAATTAAGGCCATTTTAATTCTGAACAAGAGAGTGCACACGGAGGTTTAATGCAGTTTAACTAATCCACTTTAAAAATCACATGTTAGTTAATTCGGATAAACTTTCCTGAGCATCCTTGTGTAGACAAGCCATAAGTTTCATTTTTCTTCCTTGTTCTTGGAAGAAGCTACCCAACCCCACTGAGGCTGCTTTACTGTGTTATGAGCAAGAGACCACACTTGTTGAAAAAGGAAGAAGGGAAAATAATATTGTGCTAGTTTGATGGACAAGTGACAGCTGCTATCTAGTACACAGCAAGGCAGAAGAAGGAGACGGTCTTCTTCTGTAAACCAAGAAGTAAAATAGATGTGGGGCCATACAGTTCAATACAGTCCAAGCTTGGTCTATACTGGACCATGACTCTCACTTTTTTAACCAACTGGGGGTAAGTTGCCTGGACATAAAGCAAACCACACGTAGGTAGTGATTTTATTGAATCAGCACGCCATAAGAATCAAATGACATTCTTTATATCCATTAGGCTAGCACTAACACTTGCTTATCCAGCCAGCCAGTCAGCGAGCCTAAAAATGGTGCAATGCTCTGAAAATGACATACCTTTGAGCAGTAACACACTAGGTACAGTTAGTTTTACTGCTTGGCTGGACTCACCAGAGCTGCTTAATGGAATTAAATTGCAGAGCGTGAAAAGGTTAGATGCTACAGAGCTTTTTTTTGTTGTTCTTTCTCCGGCTTAAGAGGAGAATATTGCTTGGAGCTGTCCGAATACCAATCATTTGCTAAGTGGAAGGCATACAGTACATTCATTTAGTGTCACGAATGTCAGCACAGCAGATCTGTTTGCTCTTCTATTTCTATCCCCCTAGAAATTTCCTCATTTATGTGGCCCGGCATGTGAGATTTTCTTCTTCTGTAGATCTACAATGGCTATTTGCATCCGTCACAGCCATGTTCCAAGGCACTGTACTGTTTCCAAAATAGGACTATAAGCACTTCAGTATTGTTGAAACCTATGGTAAACATGTTTCTTTAACCTTGCCATGAACAGTGAAAGAGACTGAGCACCTCTTATACCAATAAACTGTGAATTTCATAACTGTAGTACATAGTAACAAAAGCCCAGATTTTTTAAGGTATTTAGACATTGCTGCACAGAGTGTTTCAACTCCTAACTGATTTAGGAGACTAAATCTCATTTTCAAAAGGGATTTAGACACTTATGAGCCTAAATCCAATTGCCAGTCAATGAGATTTAGGCTCCTAAGTGTCTAAATCCTTTTTGAGAATGAGATTTAGCCTCCTAAATCAGTTAGGTGTTACAACTACTAAATACCTTTAAAAATCTGGGCCAAAATGCTTTGCCTCCAACTCCTTGAGATTTATACAGTTATTCCACTCAGATCTAGACTGTTGCTGAGAAAAGTTCAGTCAGACTAGTGAGTCCACCATTAACTGTTAAAAGTCCAGGATCTTAATATACAGATCACGTCTGAAATGTCTTCATAATCTTTGTACGCAGTGTTGTTGTGGGTGTGTTGGTCCCAGGATATTAGAGAGACAAGGTGGAGGAGGTAATGTCTTCTTCAGGCCTGAAGAAGAGCTCTGTGTAAACTCGAACATTTGTCTCTCTGACCAACAAAAGTTGGTCTAATAAAAGATATTACCTTGCCCACCTTGTCTCTTCATAATCTTTCCCAGTTAATTGTTGCCATATTCTACTGAATTCCACAAGTTGGGAAGAAATGCAAATAGATGTGGGGCCATACAGTTCTCTTTCTGGAGCAGATGTTAAGATCAGTGGAGATTTGTGATAATGGAAAGTAAGCAAGTGAAATTGATTTGTAAAGATGCACATAAAGCCAATTTACAGTAACAGACAAGGATCATTCAAAACAAGGTGAGCTGTTCTTACCCTTGTTGCCCTAAGAATCATCCACTGAGATAATTAGCACTGGCAAGGGTGTGCTACAGTTATATAGAAGGTCCTATTTTAGTGAAGCCTGAGCCTGGCAATATACTCTCATTAAATGCACTTACCATTTCTTCTAAAAGTGTAATGCATGTATACAGTGTAATTTATAAGACCTCTAAAAAGGAATCTCTCCACCTCTCAAATGCTGCGTCTGCCCCCATGAGGATGGTAGTGTTCAGAGGTTGTCTCTTCATGTCAGTACATCGCCTCTTAATATTATGATATTAGCTGTTGTGAATTATACAGTAATAAACTTCAGCATATGAAGAATACAAAATGTTCACATTAATTCCACACCATTTGACACACCTCTTTTATTAATGGCTGTGTTTGTGCCTTGTAATATCTTACACATTAGAGTAGTTATCCCATTTTTTTTACTGGTTTTGCAATAGGTTTACAAAGAGTGCTGACAAAGCAGGGCATTCTGTTCATTGATCTGCTTAGGAGCCAAGGCCAGACCAGTGGGTCTCCTCCAACAATTGGCCTATTTGAAAGTGCAGTACATTTCATGGATGAGGTTTCTTTAATTCTGAATGCCAACTAACCCTCACTGTAAGGAGGTAACTAATGAGAGAGAATGGGGGCTACCATTTTCTAGAGCCCTCTTCATTTGGATATGTCAGGGTATTCTCTCCAAACACCTTTCATTTTACAAAAACTCACTACTGCCAAATTGATAGGAATGATGTCAATGTCTCTATGTTGCTTTAGATGTAGTATTAGGAATCAATACAGTCTGTCTTGTTACTTCCACAAATCCACCAGTCTGACACACAGAGTTTGAAACCAAATATCAATTGTGAGCCAAATTCTGTCTTCAGATATGTGCACAACTCCCATTGACTTCACTAGGAGTTGTGTGTAGCACATGTAAATGAGGGCAGAATTTGGCCCTTTTAGTTTTGGGAATGTGTCTGATCAGGATAACTGATTCCTTTTACAGAAGTACCAGGGGTATGCTAAAGATGCGAATGTGCAGTTGATCAGATATGGAGACAGCAAAGGACACTGGTCAGTTAGAAGCAGCGGTGTGCTGAAATCTGATTCACAGTGGCGTCCTTAACTGCTGTCATTTTATGTCTCTGTGGACTGATTACATATTGTTTTTATGGAGTGCTTTGGGTCGGGGTTACCAGAAGATGGTTCCACCATGGTGTCATGTAAACCCAATTTCTTGTGTGCCAGGTCCAAGGAGGAAAGGGAGCCCTCAGCCCTGCCCATCTCTTCTCTCCTCTCCTCTCCTCTCCTTCCGCCTCTCCCCCCACCCCCACCATCTCCCAAGTTTCACAGCCCAGTGTGTGGTGCTCCTGCTGCTACTTTGGTGGTGACATCAGCCCAACTTTACAATGTTTGTACTAGTTAGTATTTTGGCATGCTGCCAACATATTCCTGAGGAATGAAAAGTGAGAGAAAGAAAATCACCATTTTTTAACAGTTTGTAACTCAGCAAAAGCTGAAGGGAATTTCATGGGACAAAGAAGAGTCAAGACATGCTCCAAACACTGGAGATGTGAGAGCTTTTGAAGCAAAAGTCATCAGGATCCTTTAAAATGGAAAGTGTTAGGCCACCTAAATATCGGGGTTGTTCTCAGCTCCCCTATAACACAGTTTGCATAAGATGCATAATAGCTACCTTGGAAGGATATGCATTCTCCTTGACATACAGGTTTTCTTTTTCATGTTGGAGATCAGTAATGTTCCAGCAAAAATGTTAGTCTATTACTTCTTACTCTTGTCCTTGTGCCAGCTCCTTGCAAACAATGTATGCACATGGTAAACAAAAATGAAAGATTACAAGGGACAAATACTGCAATGATTTCTTTTTATGTAGAATGAAATCCATATGGTCTAAAGTCCAGAATCTTTTTGGATTCTAAGTATGAAATTGGATAGGCTGCAATGCCTCCCACCTGCTAAGCCATCCTTGGAAACATTTTTAAACCTGTTTATAGAATGAGCAAATACATTGTATGGGGTCCCCTCCCAAAAAGCATAGATTAAAATTAAGAGATAATTTCTGTTTGAACCTGTTCAAGACCATACAGCTATCCTCTTGGGACTGTGTAATATCCCCTTTATTTTGGAATAATAGCCAAATGACAATCAATAAGATCATAGAAGAAAATATTCCAATTTTTTCAACTCTCTATCATGGCAGATGGTGTATTATTGAATGTCCATTATGTAAAGGCTAAATGGGTTTCACTAAATTTAATAGTTGAAAAAAAATAAAACAAGTTTTATCCTAAGAACTCATATGCTTGAGGAATGTCGAAGGGGAGGAATGGATCTCCAAGCCAACACAAATCTCAGCTTATGGGGGAAAAAAAAAGGCAAGATTTCAGTGAAATGTAAGAATAGTTTTTAGGTTTTAAGAACGGGAAAGAAGTAGAGGCCGGCAATACATGAACTGATGTACTCAGTCATTAAGACAGAAAAACATTATAAGAAAATTACCACTGTGTCTTCTTTTCTGTGTTTTGTTCAGCTTAGAAAAAACATCATTTGTTAAAAATTCCAATTTTTTTTTAAAAGTCACACTTTCTACTTTCTGGATCCATTAGGGATGAGACTAAGTTAGTGGAATTGTTATTAACACTCTTTAAGCACAGTTTGCTTGGCTGATTTGGGACAGGCCCAGGCTAAAATTGTTATGATTAGTTCCCATCAGTCAAACAAACTGGACCTGATCCTCCTCTCACCTACAAGTGCAAATTAGGAATAAATTCACTGAAGAAGTCAATAAAGTTATGTCTGTGTAAACAGATGTGAGTAGAGAATCAGGCCAGCTGTGTGTTAATGCATGTTAGCAGGAAGCATTTTAAAGTAATGTTTTATCTCCAGTTTAATATGGGTTTGTCACAAGTGTAGATGCCCCTCTTTCCCCTCTCCCAATGATGTCACACAGACAAAGCATTGTGAAACCATAGACCTTAACCACAAAGTCACATTTGAACTGAGCTCTGCATTATAGCACCTTTAGTATGAGACTGACCATGGAGAGAGGCTGGCATTCAGCCCCAAAAGGAAATTTCACGTGTTTGTAATGAGCCCTTTCTTGACTTTGTTAATTTGAATGACCTTTAAGGGGTATGCTTTGGGGAAAAAACATGTGGCACTCACATTTTATTTTTGTTCATTTAGCTGAATCTTAGCTGTAATGTAGCATCTCTTTCACAGCAAAGTCTTATTCTTTAACCCCGTTTTCTGGATGCATTGACTGAAGCACAACAGGTCATGACTTGATGATGGGTCACACAAGGAGTCAATGGCTATAGCATGATTAGAATGCTCCTGGTCATTTGTTTTAAACAGCCTCTTTATTCAATGGATTTTACAACTAGCGCTGGAGATTAATGCTCTCTGTCATCTGGCAGTTATGAATTCTGGTTCTCCAGTGAGGTACAGGTACAAATTTAGGTTAAAACATATTATGGTGATTATTGTGAAATATATTTATGGCTTCCTCCAGCAAGAAGAAAATCCTTACCACAGCATGCATGCATTCTGCTCCTTCTTTACAGATGCTGATGGCGACTGGCAGGGATTAGATGAAAACATTGCACATGTCTCCTTCTCTGCTGAGCGTTACTCTGAGGGTGAAATGATTAAAAGGTCAAAGGAATTTTATGAGCTTCTAAATAAGAGACGGTCGGTCAGATTTATAAGTGATGAGCCAGTCCCCAGGGAGGTCATTAATAATGTCATCAAAGCAGCAGGTATGGTACTGAATGAATGAATCTCCTGAGAGTGACAGAAGCACTGGTCTCCTGCTCCTCAAATGCATAAGATAAGGGTGATATGGAAAAACATAGGGAATTAAAAGAAGATGCCAACCATGCTCCTACTTTTAAATGCAGGCCTATTGAATCAGCACTGAATGAGTATTCAGAAATACTTGAACAGCCACTGAGTCAGTGGATACTGACCCCTGCAATGTGACTACCATGGTAACCTTTGGAATCCCGACCAAGGTCACGTGACTGGGATTGGGAAATACATTTTAGTTCTTTGTCAGAACTCCTGTGTGTCAGTCTCTTACTGCAGGGCCAGACTCAACTCCGCTGTAATCCCATTGACTTCAGTCAGGGATGAATTTGACCCCCATTATTTATCTTGTCCTAGAATTTGGCTGCTGTTAGTAAAGCCTAAAATTGTAAAAAGGATTAGAGTAGGTTTCAGCAGCCTCTAGCAGGATTACTAATACAGAGATCCCAGCCACTATTTGAAGAGGATTGTTTCCGTGTTTAAAAATCTGTGAGCTGTTTTGTTACTGTACTTGGATGTAAGAAGATGGCGATGTATTTCAATTAGTGGTAATCATTAAAAAACTGAACATGTTCTAGCACATGCAACAAAATGAACAAGCCTGCAGCACAGATGAAGTGCTCTGAAAGCTTTGAGGAGTGGAGAAAGGGGAAAAAACAAACACCATCAGTTCTTGTCTGACTCTCAGGAGAAACAAAGTAATTGATAAGCCTCATTTAATTTAAGAGTGAGAGTGGTATCTTTAAATAGTTTGTTCATGGTGCATCTCAAACTTAAGCAGGGCTTTGGTTAGCAAATGGTCGTTTGTTTCTAAGACCTACAAACAGTTAAAAGTGTTTAAAAGTGGGGCGGGGAGCACAGTCCATTCAGTCAATATGAAGAGCTGATCAGGCTCTTTTATACCCACTTTACTTCTTTTAGGCATTTAAGTTTTGCAAAATGTGTGTATTCTATTGCTTTGATTTTATTCCTTTTCAACCAGTTAAATACTCTTTCCACTGTATTTGCGCATGGCAATTAGGACTGAGTGAACAAGTTCAGATTTCATACACACCTACATGCACCAGATGCCTTTGGGTCTGTCAAATCAAACCTGTATGCTCTTTGGCAGATGTTTGCATCACAATATTCCTATTCTGTGTGTAAATTGGAAACTCATTCCTTTTGGCTGCTAAGATGGTTTGCCTGAAGGCCATCAGCTTTTGCCCTGAAGCCAAAGCCTTTGGTTTTAATTGGCTATATATTCAGGCTGGTTGATGCTTTACTTTGATTTTAATATATTGCATTAGTATTACTGTATGGCACTTAGATGCCTGGTGACAGGCATCTTACATGTATGAAATTAAAAAAATATCTAAATTCTCTCTTCTCAATTAAAGACAGTAATTGTAACAGACATTCAATAGGAACTAACCAGTGGATTTAACACATCTGACATTGATCGGAACTGTGATGGCGTAGTCTCCTCTTAAAGGCAGCATTGCCTAGTGGTCAGTCTATCCCACCACCTGGCGTGGCTCTTCAAGAGCTAAAAGGTCCAGTTATAGATACAAGGAACTCGGAGATACTGAGAGAAAAGAAGTGGTCCTGGGAGTACGAATGCTTTAGAGTGAAACCTTGTTCTTTAGGGGTCTGGGCCGGGAGCCTGGCAGAGAGGGTGGTGCAAAGCTTCCCTCTCTCCTAGCCAATGGAGGATGAGCTGGGAAAAGGTGACCAGTATAAATGCTGCCTCCTTCCTCATAGCAGTACAGGTGCCTGCAGATACTGAAGGGAATAAGAAGGCTCCTCAGTTAGTAGGGAACAGACACCAGCAGCAGAAGACTGCCAAACCCTCTGAGCCTGAGGATTAAGTGGGGTCAGCTAAGGTATAACAACTGCTTGAATTACCCAGCTCCTATGTAGAAAAATAAAGATTGAGAAAAACAGCAAGGAGTCTGGTGGCACCTTAAAGACTAACAGATTTATTTGGGCATAAGCTTTCGTGAGTAAAAACCTCACTTCTTTGGATTGAGAGTAACCCTGGGAACAGAGTTTTGGGGGCAGGCTTCAGAGGAACTTTGAAAACCAGAAGCACCTTTTGAGACTATTTGGAACTTTTTGTTATGGATCCTTTTGTAGGAGGTTTTGTAATAAACAAGCCCAGGGCGGATATAATTTAAGACAAGCATCAGGAGTGCCTAAAGTGGACTTATTGGCTTCCTGAGGATGCAGAGTGAGGCAGTACTACACTGATGCTGCAGGGGGCACTACAGCACAGGCATGCCCTACAACAGGAACTTTAGACTTTTCTCCATGAAGAGAATGAATTGAGACCATCAACACCAACGGGAATGAATGCATTCTTTCCCCTTTGGTCAGCTTGCTTTCTTGTTGCTCTGTAATTCAGTCCTGTATCACCCAGAAGGATGATCTGACTCTTCATTTTTTCCCCCTAGCATTTTGTTGGTTGATTTTTAATGTTTGCATTTATTTGCATAAAGGAACTTCTCCAAGTGGAGCACACACTGAGCCTTGGACCTTTGTGGTAGTGCAGGATCCTGAACTAAAACATAGGATTCGGGAGATCATCGAAGAGGAGGAGGAAATAAACTACAAGAAAAGAATGGGAGACCGATGGGTTAATGACCTGAAGAGACTGAGGTACAAAAATCAAGGCAAATAACGGGCCAAGATTTTTCAAAAGTGACTAGGGAGTTTTAAGTGCCTTACTTGAGACATCTTGAAAGAACCTGATTTTTTATAAAAGGATGAGCACCCACCTTGTGAAAACTGGCCTATTAAGTGTATCAAGCTGAACACCTGACTATTGAGGCACCCAAAATCGTTAGTCAGTTTTTAAAATCTTGGGCAAGGTAAATAAATAAATCTAACTTGTAAGTGAGAAAGACAAAGGAAAAGACTTGTTAGGGGATTTTATTCACACTAGCACCGCTTGTTTTTTCTTTTACTTCAAGGAAAAACAGAATTATTCAGCTCAGATTAAAATCCTATTTTTTTTAGACTTTTTGAGCATCCTGGGGGTTATAATGGATCACAAATTGAATAGGAGCTAATAATGTGATGCAGTTGCAAAAAAGGCTGATATAATTCTGGGATGTACTAATAGGAGTGTTGTATGTCAGACACAGGAGATAATTGTCCCACTCTTCTTGGCACTGGGGAGGCCTCAGCTGGAGTACTGTGTCCAATTGTGGGCACCATACCTTAAGAAAGATGTGGACACTTTGGAGAGAGTCCAGAAGACAGCAACAAAAATGATAAAATGAGGAAAGGTTTTTTAAAAAGCATGTTTAGTTTAGAGGAAAAGAAGACTGAGGGGGCACCTGATAAGTCTTCAGATCATAGAATCCTAGACTTTAAGGTCAGAAGGGACCATTATGGTCAACTAGTCTGACCTCCTGCACAATGCAGGCCATAGAATCTCACCCATCTACGCCTGTATCAAATCTGTGTCTGAGTCATTGAAGTCCTCAGTACGTTAGGGGCTGTTATAAAGTGGGTGGGGATCAATTGTTCTTCATGTACACTTATTTATTTATTACAATGGTAATTATTATGCTGGTGCAAGACCAAACTACATGTGTACTATGTACATAATTAAAATATATCTCTTTCCATAATTAGATGAGATATCACACATGAAAATAGGAGGAAGTAGCTCTTTTATATAGGCTATCATCTCATAAATTTCTATAACAACATATCTGGAACCAGTGACTGAAGCCCAAAAGGGATGACCTACATAAGGATAGGTCAATGATCTATAGATGGATATGTACTACACAAAATAGCTTTAAAACTTATCCAAAGTTCCCAATTCAGTGGCCCTCCAGTAAGCACCACTGACTACAGTAGGAGCTATAGGAACCCCAAAATTCTGAAAATCATGCCACTGTCTTAGTTCCCAATGCCTGAGAGTGAGTGCTCATGAGATCTGTCCTCAGGTAGGAGGGGATATATCTGCACCATATTCTCATGCAATGCACACTACAGAGCTGGCAAGTAAAATCTTTCTCTCATCCATCCATAGACTGAGAGTGCTGGGACCCAGGGTTTCTGTTTCTAGGAAAACATCCAACAAACTTCATTTAAATGTTGTTTAAGATCAATAACTAAGCAGTAGCTTAAAAAAAGCCTGTTATAGCTGTTGTACATCAGTACCAATCTTTTATAGCCAACACATATATTATATATAATCGTTAAAACAATGAGACAGCACAATAAATGTCTTCTAAAATCACTCTTTTGCAGAACAAACTGGATAAAAGAATACCTGGATACAGCTCCCTATCTGATCCTCATTTTTAAGCAGGTGTATGGGATGCTTCCAAATGACCAAAAGAAGACCCATTACTACAATGAGATCAGTGTTTCTATTGCCTGTGGTATTCTTCTTGCTGCACTGCAGGTACGCTGACAGCATGCTGTACAGTCAGAGTCGATATAAAGTAGGGTTGGGTTGGGCTGGGTAAGAACAGAACTGAACCTTTGCCCCAAACTTGGATTAAACCCAATTCTAATTTTTGAGGTTTGAAAAAGTTTAACTTGCCATTTTAAAAAAAGAAGAACTTAATTTAAGCAATGTGCTTCGTGTTATTTGCACCTCCTTTTAAACAGTAAATTCAGGCGCATACCGGTTTAATACTGTCTTATTAATAGAGCTGCAGTAGATACCAACTTAAGCACTCATAACTCTTGTACTACACTAATAATGATGCTAGGGGTCTCAGGTTACCAGTATGTCGTCTTAAAATGATATGCCATTACTCTAACACAACTTCCTTTCATGAATCCCCAGGACATGTCTGGCTTTAAGATCAGTTTCAGTGTTGTTATGCGCATTACTTGGGGGTGGGGGGAGCGGGTATATGTTTTGTTTAACAGTCAATGCAGTTTCAGTTGTTTTGTTCAAGACATTTCTAAAGATGAATTTATTTCTAACGAGTTTAGAGCTCTGAACTTTATACACTGGTCAATCAGATTGTTTGATTAGTCTCTCAACATTTAATTCTAGTCCTTTTATCTAATGCATGCAAAAATGTTTAAATAGTGATTTTTTTTAAACTGTTAAATCATTAATGGAGCACAATTACAGCAGACCAATGCATTACCAGACTCTTCTCTTTTAGTCTAAATTTTTCTGAATCCTTCATTCTGAAGGAAAATCTTCACAGCAGGAAATCTGACGAGGGAGCAGTGCGCGAAATTTAATTGTAACACTGGTATGTTGCACCTCTGCAACTGTGTATGGGTACTGTATGTCTATACTGCAATGTAAGACCAGACTCAGGCTTGAGCCCAAAACCCCTTCTGTCTACACACAAATCTCTCAGACTCTGGCTTGGACCTAGGGTTCTAGGACCCTGCAAGGGTGGAGGGTCTGAGCCCATGACAAGCCATGACCCAGGGTTCAAGCCCTATTGTTTTGCAGGGTAGATGCAGCCTCCCTTGACTCAGGTCCTGGGAGACTGCCAAAAGTATCCAACAATCTCATGGACCAACTTCCTTTATCCTAAGAATCTCCAATTGACTCAATTGAAAACGGAAGCCATCCTTCTTGGTGCACTGCAGCAGCTCAGTGAGTCAGTGTTAACCTTTCCATTGTCTTCACCGAGCTGCAAACACACCATCTGAGAGCCTTCTGTGTTTGCAATGGAGACTGAACAGAACAAGCCTTTTCCAAAGTGCGCTGCTTCGTGGTGAGGGGACCACAGCCAGCTTTGGTGAATCTCTGGTGCGAGGCCAGGAAAACTGTGGTAAAACTTTAGTAAAAGTACCAAGAGTGACCAGCATGCATACCAGCAAACTGCAAAGAAACTGGCAGCTTTGCCAATTTACTGGACTGGTGACCAGTGCAGGGAGCAGATTAAGCAGCTCAAGAGCAAATGTCAGAAAACGAGGGACCAGATCCACGCCTCAAGCAACTTGCTGGCACCCTGCCTGTTTTATGAGGTGTTGGACTGGCACTGCACCCAGGACTGAGCCAACTGTGGTGTATAATGACCTGGTCAGCTCGGATGTGCCCTGCCAGCCGCAGAATCTAGCATGGGGAGTGATGGGAGCCGGCAGCAGACACGGAGTGAGGACCATGAAGTCACTCTGTTGCTGAGGCGGGTCCTAGAGCACACTTTGGAACAGGATCAGCGGCAACTTCTGGGTCCATACTCAGAGGAGCTGTTTGATGCCCCCTCGAGGAACAGCCCGCTGCTGAGCCTGCAGCAGACATGGACAGGGACAGAAGCCGCCCCTGAGGCTGGTAAGTTTCTGGCTCCAATTTAATATTTATTGCTACAGTAGTGGGAGGGATTTCCACTGTATGGATCAATGCAAAAGTTCTGAGAAGCTCAGGCTAGCAGCTTGTAGCTGCTAAAGGCAGATTGCATCACAGTGCCTTGGCGCACCCCTCCCACTCGCATGGACTTCAAAACGGTGACTGGGAAATGCAAACAGTAAAGAACCGCTCTAAAAAGTATTTTTACTGGAAAGGCACAGATTTTTGCTATGGCCACTCCTGTTTTTTAAAAATAACCTTACATTGTCACGCCTTTGTTTGCTGCTCTGTAATCAATCAATGGCCTAGGGACCTTCCTGGAAACTGTGTATATGTGTGTTTGGGAAAATGTGATCCATTTTCAAAACTAGTCCATTTCAGTTAGAGGAAGTCCATGCAGTCCATAAGTGACTATCATTTATCCCAAGTCTGACTGGGTTTGAATTTTTGCCAAGAAATGTGAGCGCAGGGAGGAGGAAGGCTGTGGAGTTCTGTGTGGTCCCATGCAGCCATAACTGGGTAAGCCCTGTGGAAGCTAATGCAGCATCCTGTTGATTTCTTCATGAATTCTGACCCAATCCCAGGTGCTGATAGCTGCAAACATTTCCTGAAGCAGGAACCCCAGATAGGCATATTTTCCAAGACCACTTTAGTAGCTAATTAGGCCACTCTACTCACAGGGCCAGATTTACACCTTACACACCCATAAGGTGCATCTTCAGCACCCCTACCTCCTGCCTACAGCTGACCTTTGTGTTTGCCAGAAAAAATGAAACTTTTAACCTTAGGCGCCGCATGAATGCCGGCACCCGTAGGCACGTGTCTACTGTGCCTACTTGGAAATCCGGCAGTGTCTACTCATAGATGTGCTACTCAGTCACTATATATTTGAATACTTCAGCTGCCTATACTGCAGGTTTCCTACCAGCAGCTTTGCCAATATGCCACCACAAGATGGCCTCCAAAATGTGAAGTCCTGAAATGATAGGAAAAGTCTTTTGTAGCAAGGTCACTGACTCCTCCGTACCCCAACATAAGTAGTTCTCAGAGTAGCAGCTGTGTTGGTCTGTATCTGCAAAAAGAACAGGAGTACTTGCGGCACCTTAGAGACTAACAAAGAAAGCTTATGCTCAAATAAATCTGTTAGTCTCTAACGTGCCACGTACTTCTGTTCTTTTTATAAGTAGTTCTGCAATTTTTGTAAAACAAAAACAGCTTAGAATTTTTAACTTACCATTGTCTCTGCATTATTTTAACTAGGCCGTGTCCAGGGAGATTCTGTGGACTGAAACATCTTTCACAATATATCCCTCCACAGCTTGACCCCTGACAGCGCAGGACAAGCCTGGCCCAGCATACCTTCTGGACTGTTCCAAGAGAAAGCATTTCTGTGATGAACTTATGGTTTAACAAGCAGGGCCAGTACCCGAAACAGAGGGACTTATGACTGGAGAAAAAGTGTGCCAAGAGGCAGGAGGAAGACTGAGGCTTTCTGCACAGCTAGAGGTCAGTGTTTCAGCGTGGGACCAGGCAGTTGCTACGCAGTTCCTGGTGTTTTGGAAATGTTCTTTTGTAACTGTTTGGATATTGCAAGGGCAGTTGCCTGCATGGCAATGGGTGACTGTTGTATTGTTTCAACATATTTATAAATAAAGCCTTTTATCTCATCCAAGTTTATTGCTATCAATGCATCTTGAAATAATAAAGCTAAACACATGATTGGAAACAATTAGGAATTAATAAACAAACACTATTCCTCCTTACAGTTAGGTACAGCAATCGACTCTTCAATCACTTCCTTATATGAATACATATTGTGACTCATCCCCCACCCCCATTTTGTAAGTGGTCATGTCATTAGTAAGTACATTGTGTGGCAATCAAGCACTGAACTCCTCCAAGCACTGAACCCACCCCAAAGCAATTAGCCCCGTCCCTCCCCCGCAACAAGCACATTCATAGAGTACTATTCCCTCTCTTCCATGGGGCCATGCAAGTCCATAATGTGGGAGCACAAAGCATCCCTGACTTCTGATGCCTGGGTGCACCCAGGGCCAGCTGTGCTAGGTGCACTTTCTGGCTGAGGGCACTGATTCAGCGGCCTCTCACTGTCATAGGTCCATTCAGGGGGAAATGGCTCACCTCTGGCTCCACAAAGATTGTGAAGAGCACAGCAAGGTACACTAATGCAGACAGCATTGATGACACTGGCATCCAAACACGTCTGTAGACATCTCCAGTGGGATCGCAATCTGCCAAAAGCACATTCAAACAACCATTCTACACCTGCTCATCACGTAATTAAATCATCTTTTGTCAAGGCCTCTGAAATCAGGGCATGATTCATATGCCAAGGCAAAAGGGAGCACATAGGGTCCCCCAGAATAATGGTAGGGACATTTATAACCATGTCATTTGGTGGGAATAGTGTCCCAGCCTGTCCATGAATGTAGACTCCTAATTGGTGAGAAACCCTGGCATTGTGAATTTTCCCAGTGAAGCCTACATTGACATTCATAAATTGATCTCTGTGGTCCACGAGGGCCTCTATAACAATGAAGTAGTCCCCTTTGTACTTTATGTACTCATGTGGTCCTTGAGGAGGGTAAACTATGGACACACGACTCCTATCAATGGCCTTGGCACAGTTTGGAAACCCCATTCTCTCAAAGCCAGCTATTACCCCAGGAATAGTTTTGTATGCCTGCCATCTTGGAGTTAACCAAACGTCTGACTGCCTCAGAAACCTCTGCCACTGCTGTACCCACTGTCAACTTTCCAACACCAAACTGGTTGACCACATTCTGGTAGCAGTCTGGGGTAGCCAGTTCCAGACAGCAACCTGTTTCTGAGCAGGCAAAGGTACCCTCATGCCTTTATGTTGAAGCGTTGGGACAAGCTGCTCACAAAGCTCCAGAAATGTAGCTTTCTTCATGCGAAAGGTCTGAACCCACTGTTGGTCATCCCAGGTCCCTATGACAATGTGATCCCACTAGTCTGTGCTTATGGCCCAGCACCAGTCTTGGTAGGAGGCATCAGTGGCTATGCTGAGTGTAACAAGCAGCATCAGCTAGTGTGAGTCTGCCATGCCAGGTTACTCTTCTTCCTCCTGCTGCTCCATCCAAAGCTCTGTTACGCTCCTTTGGTGTGTCAGAAAATGCTTCCAAAATGTCCACCAGTGCCTCATGGAAGCTCTGCCTGTTTCCTGACACCGGAGTGAAAGTGCAAGCAAGAAAACTTCTTGAAAAGGGGTCTCCTCCGTGTTGCTTGGCAGGCTGTGTTGGCTGGCTATAACTTCCTGTGACATGCAGGGTGGGCAGTACAGTTTTCCTACAGTGCACCAGTCAAAGGGCTAGAGCGACCACATTTCGGGAGAGTGCTAGGAGCCTGGGATATGGTTGGTTTGACTCGGGTCTGCATGCTGCACTGTGGAAGCCAGAGCCCCAGGTTAGAAAATTCTTAACGTAGGGTTAAGAATCAGTGTAGATGCTCAGGCCCTGGGTTCTCGAACAAAGGTCAGCTGATTTGAATCTCTCTCTAACCCTGGTCTTACATTGCAATGTAGACATACCCTATGTGATTCTCCACTCCCCCTCCACGTAACTGCGTATAAAGGGGATGCAATGAGGATGTGGCTAAAGGAAAAAGGGCAGAACCAGCATTTTATGTCCCCAGATGCATAGGTGCCAACTTCTTTTGGTGCTGGTGGGTGCTCAACCCCAGCCCTGGCCCTGCCCCGACTTCACCCCTGCCCCACCCCCATTCAAACCCCTTCCCCAAAGTCCCCACCCCAACTCCACCCCCTCCCTGCCCCTATTGGACTCCTTCCCCAAATCTCTGCCCCACCTCTTCCCCACCTCCTCCCCTGAGCATGCTGCGTTCCTGCTCCTCTCCCCCCCCTCCCAGCTTGTTATGCCGTGAAACAGCTGTTTTGCAGTGGCAAGTGCTGGGAGGAGAAGCGGGGACGCGGCGTGCTCAGGGGAGGAGGTGGAGGTGAGGTGAGCCAGAGATTTGGGGAAGGAGTCCAATAGGGGAAGGGAGGGGGTGGAGTTGGGGTGGGGACTTTGGGGAAGGGGTTTGAATGGGGGAGGGGCAGGGGTGGAGTCGGGGCAGGGCCAGGGCTGGGGTCGAGCACCCACCGGCGCCAGAAGTTGGCGCCTATGCATCTGGGGACATTAAATGCTGGTTCTGCCCTTTTTCCTTTAGCCACATCCTCATTGCACCCCCTTTATACACAGTTATGTGGAGGGGGAGTGGAGAATCACATAGGGTATGTCTACATTGCAATGTA